GTATGGGAGAGGCGTGCAGATCCCGTCACACGGGTCAGCAGCTACGTGGCAGAGCTCGAGATGAGAGTGCGGATCATGAAAAGGGCCCGGCTCCCATTCTCAGACCCGATACAACGCAGCAGTCAACCCGCTAAACGGGCCGTTTGTGCCCACGGCAGACAGTCGTTTACTTGAAAGACATCCCCTTAAGCAGGGCCGCGAGGGGGTACAGTTCACTCCTTTAGTTGAACACATTCATAAGAAATTGAGTGTAAGTACCTTGTTCGGTCCAATGAACCAGCCCAAATGCCACTCTGCAGTACGCTTGTTCTTTACAATCCCTTTAGTGACATGTGCACACAGACATATATACATACGCCAAACTTCTGTTCGGTACTAATTCCATTTTGGTCACCCCCCCCCCCAATCCCAGATCCTTTAAAACAGCAAAGCCTTCACCTCCCATGATAACTGAATGCTAGGACAAAACCAAATATACAAAATGAACATCCTGCTAACAGATTCAAGCTCTGGAAACTAGCAATGAGGGCTCTGTGGTTTAGCAGTCTGTGACTGTATCTAGAAGTTTGCTGGTCCAAATCCTGTGTAGGAGTAATTCAGTGAGGCCTTTAACCCCAAAAACTGCTCCTGAATTGCCAAATAAATGGCTGCCCCAGGACTCTGACCCCAAGATTTGTTCTCACTTGTACAAATGTGTGCGTATGTTTCACAGAAGTGCAAGACTGAATTTTGTTGTACCTGTAGAGTGACCAAGAGGCAAACCCATGAACACAGCCAGCTCACGTAAACCAAGTTAACAGGTAAACACACAAAACAAAAACTCAGACATGACACCAAGAGGAAGGCAAATGGTCTGCTGATCCTCACTGGCCCTCACAGCAACCAGCACCGCCTCAGATCCCCCCTTCAGGATTCTAAGGATTACTGGCCCCCCTGAGCCCATGTCTCACAACATCCTGCTTTTTCTGAATACCTGTTTTTCTTCCCCATAAAATATGTCTCAGCTATTTTTCCCCATATACTGTAAACATCATTAGATGTGTCACAAATGTAAGATTTAATGTACAAATTTAAACTTTGCTTCATTTATTATTAACATCAACCCTTCCATCCATCTTTCAGCCACTTCACCAGTCCCGGGTCACAGGATATTAATTAATTATAGATAATGACTGATCATAAAAGGCAGACTTATGATATGGAAAAGACTGCAAACAGAATCGATGAATAATAAAATCATCCTACAAGGGGGCTTGGGGGGGGTTACAACACAAAACACTAGACACAAGGCAGGGCCATAAACTAAACACTTTAACTGATGTGCTATAGGAACACGCACTCCGCCAGAAGAGTAGGACCAGCCTCGTAACGAACTGAGCTAGCCTCACACCAACCTGAGGTATAAGCACTACCTGAGAGAGAGGTGATGCAAGGTGACAGAGGACAGGAGTGGGCAAGGTGTTGGGACAGCTCAGTCCACAGAGCTCCTGCTGTCCTTATGTTACTGTCACATCGCTCTGAGGGGCAACTACAGGGCACGGCGGCCTCCTGTCACGGAGGAAGATGGGCCGTCTCCAGGCACCATATCTGATATTCTTTTAGTACCAGGCACACAATCGCCAGGACTCTTGCATTTTCCCATCTTGAATTTGCTGCTACATCTGTGGCATCGGAGATGGGATAGATGTGCACTACACTGAGGGCTCTGGCATTCACAAACATTAATGCTGAATTTCTAGTGTTTGACACTAGTGGGCGCAGGAGAGCCACCGCCCCCTCCCCACAAGAAAACAGCAGCCATGCCATTGCCAGAGCCAGTCCCCAGACGCATGTTCTACACTCTGCCACCACTAAACTGGAAAAGCCTCTGGTCTATATTCATATTTAATAGACTTCCATGCTTCCCTCTAATATTCATTTCCAATAACAAGAAAAGTTAATGAGCAACTGGAGGTAATCAGGAGGTAAACTGGCTTCTGAGGTTGGTGTCTCGGCACTGAGAATATGCGTGTCGGCACACGATGACCCCCTTTTTTCAAGTAACAATAGACTGGAGGAACAAAAAACTGACAAGGCACTCGGACAAAACAAAAATGTTCCACAAAAATAAACGGGGGTAATGACCCTTGTAATGTTCCAAAGCAAAAAAATCTCGACTATGTAAGGACACACACTGCTACAGAATAGTTTTAACTCTGCAAAAAAAGAATAGATTAATCCAGAGTCATTTCATATTCATGAGTCTCCTCTGACCTCTATCCCACAATGCCTCCATACATGCAAGTGGGGAGCAAATCAGGGGTTTGTTCTACTGGTTTGCCGTGATCCATGGGCACTGTCCACTTCTTGCTCCATTTTCTGCATCCCCTACCCATGTACAGTAAGAACCCAAAGATAAGCAAAATGGAAGTTGGAGGAGGGGAATAAAGATTTCGCAGGCACCATCGACAGATGAAGCAGGGTATACAAACTAAAATGGCCACTTCTCTCTGAAGAATACAGCCATCGGTGTGCTGTACAGATGCCAGACCACGCGGCACCGCCCACCCTCACCACTGCAGCCACGCTGGTAACCAAACCTGCTCATCCAGCCAAGATCAAAACACAACACAAACCTGACCTTCCGCAAGTTCACTGACCTAGCAGTTGCCAGTGTCTGAATTTTACAAGTGCCTTACAATTTCATTTTTAAAAGGGGGAAACTAAACCGAATGGCTGTTTAAATACAGAAAGTCTGTTTGGAAATACAACTTTCAATACAATTCCCCAGTTCAGGTCTATTTCTAGGGACAATATACATCAATTTACTGCTGCACACAGTTGTTCACGTGTCCATCTAATATGTAGGGCAGACAACATAACGGGAATGTTCCATAGTGTTTTTAAAGTTCTAATCAAAAGCAGCCTGGGACTCTTAGATCCAAACCTTTCAACATTATCTTAATGTGCCTCGATCGACTTGCCATCGATTACTCACGTCCCGTTTCCCCTAAACCGCCCGCCGCCACAATTAATCCACTCCCGCCAAAGAGCGCGCGACGGGACGGTCTCCAGCGAAATTCGCGACGCCCCGCCGCGCGCGCTCTGCATTTCAATAAGCGTGTCCCTACGCGTCTCACGCCTCGCTGTTTGAATCATACCTCGCGGTGCCTTAACAGTTCATACCGTGCACATAATTACGACACTTTACCAACTTAATCGATCAAATCTGCCATCGCTATTGTGTAAGTTCGCACAAGGGATTTCAGAGCGCTGTGCGGATTCCGCTACGTGAATAACTGAGTAACGATTGCAGTGACCCGGTTTTCCTGCTCGAAGCCCGACGGCGCGTCCCGCTCGCTTCGGCGGCGGGATGAGGACGTCAGGCCTCCTGGGACGCTGAGCTTACGGCCAAATTCAAGCACTTGTACCGTGTATCGGTTTTGCTCCCGAGTCCTCAGAAAGCCCCCGTTTTGATGCCGTTTCAGTCCCCGTCCTTTCCGGGGTTTCGCTGAGTGGAGTTCTGAAGTCTCGGGCCAGTAGAAGAGGCAGAGCGATGCGTCAGCAACGCTCCAGTTGCAACTCATTATAAGGGCAATCATTTATTTTTATTTTTGCACAGAGACGCATGACATTCTGGCAAACAGGTGTCTGTTTCGTGCATGAGGATTGGTGGGGCATTTTAAACAGCTCATTACTGGCCGGAAGGCCCATAGGCGAAGAGGTACCATATTTTCCAAAATAATTTAACTATAACTCACTTAGTCATGAGAGACCTGGCAGGCCTCCACATACTGTCATTTTGTCCTCCTTCTAACAATGTAGGCCACCTACACGTCACTGCTGGGAAGAGGGACACTGTCTACACATCAGTTTTTTTCTATTTATCTACAAGCTGTCAGCTGACACCTCTGGAGAGAGCAGGGCACTGAGCCCAATCCCCCCGACCCCCCCGTCATGAAATTGTACTCATTTTTAGAGGTCATTTGCCGGAGAGGTAACCCAAAATGCTACCCAGATTTACGAAGAGCGAAAAATATCCAAGACAGACATCATCTGTTAGCCTGAACACATCGGGGGATGGGGCATTGGGAGGCAGAGAGCCACACAGTGTTTCATCGCCTGTTGGCATGACACCCGACGTACCTGAAATGACTGTAATATAACTGCAAACAAGGGATCGAGCGCTCAACATTTACGGAAGTCTGACCGAGGTCCGGTCACTGCAGTGACTACACTGCTGACAGTGACCACGCGGGCACTGCACATTAATCACAAAACGCCAAGGACCTGCACACCTAGGGCAAGATCATCAGGGATTAGCGGTGCAATGCATGAGGACACACTATAAAACATGTTAAAAATGTTAATAGTAACAATAGACATTATTTTCACATTCTTCAGGAGAAAAAAGCGCGACATGCACCTTTTATAACAAAGTCATGTAAATTTACAGATTTTTTTAATGTACATTGTCAAAAGTTGCTTCATTTCATTAGTAGTTCAGCAAGGGACTTCATGTCCTCCCATTTCATACGTTAATCATATGACATGCAGCCATCTAATTAACCCCGTTTATTAATAAACAAAAAACGCTTTAAAAAAAGCGCATTGTCTTTATCTGGATATTAACGTATCAGCATTAAATGTGATTTAAACCAACCTGTACTTGCTTTCAATATGTGATTTAAACAGAACTGATAATTGAAACGCCAGATGCGACTAGTTGCCAGATAAAACATTTTTAAACTGTACGCACCCAAATAAATGTGCTCAAGTCCGGATTGTCAGGAACTAACCTCATATCATCTCCTTGTAACAGACTGTCCCGAATTAAACATAGGCTAGTGCTTATATACACACCACTGTGCGGTGAGATTTCATCACAAAAAATAGCAACTCTATAGGTTGCAATACAGTCCCCGGCACTGAAGCCATATAACGAAGGGAGCTCCTAAAACACGCCCATTCATCATATTCATTTTATTAAGTGCATCATAACCTTTCTGTTTCTTACTTACGACAGTTCTCTTCGTCGCTGCTGTCCGAGCAATCGTCATCATCATCGCATCTCCAGATCGTGGGTATACATCTTCCGTTTTTGCACTGAAACTGACCCGTCTCACATTCCGTTGTAGACCCTTCAACAGACAAAATTCTGGGTTAATAATTTATTTTTTGTTCAAATTCCAAAATTGCTTAACATAAAATCGCCTAAAATAATAAGCAAAATACCCACAAAACAATTACACAGTATTTTCCTACTTTGTTCTACCACCAACTATGAAATAAAAATTTGCAAAAGTGGCAGATGTGAAATAGATTTTAATCCCAATGGGTGGCACAAAACCGCTGGCATTATTAACAGGTATCATTCGGCTGTGGGTTAAAGGCAGGAAAACGAATACAACACAGACGCTGTCCCCCTGTACACTTACACCGCTATTACACTGAGGGCTCCCTTTCAGCGGGGACTGCCATGTATCCTCACGCACAAATAAAAAGCGTGTTTCACTGAGCCATCCCACTATAACGACATGAACTGTCCATCACGGCATATTTGTCCGTGAAGGCGTTTTCTAAATTGCAGTTTCAACTGCAGCTCCAGTTACTATCGGGTGATAAAAAAAAAAAAAAAAAAACGTGCATCGCTCCGCATCCCGCACATCACCATCTCTTCTCACACATGCACACACATTTCTACATTATCTGGAGTTGTAAACGCAGCTCACCTTTGGCGGAGTGTAGCTCCACAAGAAATAAATGCAGCAGCATCACCTTCCCCATTTCGGTCCACATCTCGGAGCTAAAGCGCAAGCCGGAGCCAGTCCGATTCCCGTCCGATTCCCGTCCTCCAGCGATGCGACTGCGCTACCTCACCGATCGTCCTCCAGGCCCACTAGCAATTTGAAGTGGTGACGACGGCGCTTATGGGCGGGGCCGCCTCTTCAATTGTCCAGCAAGGAAAATTAATTAAAATATTAATAAAGAGACGGGAAATCACGCGTAAAGCGAGCAGGAGACGAAAGCGGAACACGCCGTAAAATAAATGCAAGATCTGCAAAAAAAATATTACTTATGTCAGTTCCCTACTTCTAACCATGGTCAGCTTTGCGCGAAAATAGAGCTGTTCATACGCTTTGATGTTTGCACAGAAGGGATTTGACCTGTGGTAAACCCTGTAGGCAAACTTTATATCTTACGGCAGCAGCAATTGTAATATTACAGATCCATTTTCAATGGCTGTTACCCAATGAACCTCTCTTAGGAAACATACAGCGTAACGCGAAGCGTTTAACATCAAGTCACCTTTGAACGGGAGAGGAAGCCCCAGCAAGATACATACAAAACTGTAATAAATTCAGCAATGATATACACATGTTTAAATTGCTATAAAAAGTAAATTCCCCACAAATGTCATACATTACAGCAGTTATGTTACTTAGCAGATATCTTTTGTCAGACATAGAAGAATTTTGACTTGGAGCGGAAAACAGCAATAGTCCACATTTCAAAACCTCGAGTGTGTAAGAGGCCATTAAATGACGGGGGGGTTGGGGTATTTCACTCTGCCAAGAATCAAGTGGGCTTCTTTGATTTTGGATCACGTGCTTGGCAGTGCCCTTCTACTTTGAGATCCAGAAGAATGAGAATATCCTGGTTTTCTGTGAGCTTCAGTCTGTACTGGGAGATCCAGTAGACTGTCAGATAAAAGGCTACCAATTTGTACCTTTGCTTGTCACTGGGGCTGTACCCTTAGCTGTAGGGAATTGTACCTTTTAAGGTGCAGAAATGGACTCCAAGGAACATCTACAAGGTACAAACATTAACGTACCATCAATGGTACAAAAATGTTCCTCAGAGTTAATGTCAGTACCTTAAAAGGTACAGATACCTACAGCTAAGGGTACAATTGGGAGACACTTGAGGGTACATCCCCAGTGACAAGCAAAGGTACAAATTGGTATCCTTTTTTTCTGAGAGTGTACTTAGTGTCTATCATCCTGAAGATATGTAAGGTTGGGGAGGGGGAGGGGGACACGAGTTTGGATCAGATTCAAACAAGAACCCTGAAGGTATATAGATAACACTGTGGTCCGACGCGGCCCATAGACCCAGAGTATGAAAATGATGCCGTTCCATTTGTTTGACTGTGAGAATTTTTAAATTATTAAATATCGATATGCATTAAATATATACCAGTAATGTTTCATGAAAAGGTTGATCCCAGATCTTCAAAATGTTCATGAATGATACTAAACACTCAATGATTTTTACATTACAAAAAATGTCAGGCAAATTTTATAATTGCCTATTCATTTCATTCTGAAATCCATGAGTTCATCACTTTAGCAAAATTATACAGACATGGTTTACAGATAATCTGATGTGCCATTTTAGCCTAGATGTGCATTGCAGGAGAGGCTGGGGAATTTGCAGTGTTAGGAGGACTCAACACTTGCTGGTCCTCCATTCACGCCATCTTCCTGGTTGCAGCCTTGACAGACACATGCCTGTAGGAGATACAAACGGAGAAGCTCATTTTGATGGGACAGGTGTTTCCTGGCCATCAGCAGACAGACAACCTGCCCAGCATCAACCTGAGCAGTCAGTTGCATGACTTTAAAATAAGGAGCAAAATTAGACAGTAACTCAAGATGCAGCTCTCCGTGTTTAACTTAAAGACAAGACATTTATTTGTTTTGCTTTTGAGAAAGCTGACCGTTTATGCTTTTAAAATCAAGGTCTTTGAAACTCTAAGGATTCGAAGCACGATTTGAGCTGAATAACCTCCTAAACTCCACCCCCCCCCCCACCTCCACCTCATAGATATGCTGTGTGATACAGACGCTGCCTCAGAAACTGAAAGGAAGATCCTGTCGCAAAGCATGCAATTTAAAATGAAAGCAGCCCAATTGGTTCTTGGTAGAATTTTTACACAAACCCTGCTTTGGTCTTTAGTGTCTTTGCCTGAAGGCTTCTAGGATTCACGCTTGCTTGGCTTTTGTTGCACAATAACATGCCTGCGCTTAGAAAAGCGTTCGAGGCTAAACTGTATGTAGACTGAAACACTTGACATCTTTGCGTTTGTTGTATGATTCTTAAAATGCTACGATTTATCCATATGACTGCCTGGGTTTCAGTGTACTACAGCACAGCTGGGGAAGTAACAAAAAAAAAAGATTTACATAAAAATTAGATGTACAAAGTACTTTAAAGCTGCAAATAGGACTGTTGGAAGGAACATTTCAATTTTTCCTAAAGGCAAATTTTATGAATAAAGTAGTAAATGGTTAAACATAATTAGTAGTTATATTCATTTAAAATGCGTGTCTCAACATAAAAGCACTAATAAAAGATTTATTTGCTTATCTAGTATTTTTACACACTGTCCTGATTTTATTCATTCATACAGATGCGTTTTTCTAACAAGCCAGAGCAATACATAATGTAATAATGTAATTATCTACATCCTGGGATTTGAACCATTGACCTCTAGGTTATGAGCCCATGTCCTCATTCCACCGTAATATAGGCATCTGAATTCAATTTACATCAAAGCAGAAATTTAATTTTAAAATGAATCCTATTATTTCATTGTCATGTGAACAGACTAAGCACTTAGAATTACATTTTCTTCCCAGACATAATCAGAATGTCTACATCTGATTGTGATTCAATAGTGATGTAGTCATGTGTCTGCCAATCATTCCAAGAGAGTCCTCACAATGCGCTTGCTTTCTGGGAAGGAACTTTTTCCATTTGGTTGTAGTTCTGTTACGAATGCATTGTCCTGCTCTTCCCATTGCCCCCAGCACCCTCTGCCCCCTAGGGGCATATCATGGTAATTACACCAACTACGTGGGTGAGTTATAATGGTGGGTAGGAGGGGGTCCCACTCATGACACATTGAACCAAATTATTAAATGATTCAAGGGATTGGTGTACAAAGTCTTAGTCTTACTGGCAGTGACAGCAGAATCTTCACACACAGATCTTTGGCCAAAAGGTTCTGGGCAAGAACACAGATCTGAGGGTCCTCTCTGTAGCCCTCCGCAGACAAAGGGCTGACACATCAATAGCCCGAATCTTAAAAATCCTTTATGCTCTATTCAGCGAATATAAATGATGGCATTGCAGATTAATCACAGTTTTCGTAGGAGAATCCATCTCTGAGTAATAATCAGCCATTTAACAATCTAAAGTACCAGGCATTACCGAAGCAGTAATCGTGTCTGTAACGTCTGTGGGCAGCCAAATGTAGGCTACAGCCATTCCAACAGCATAATCGGTACATTTAATGGCATTATGCTTAGGCTGCACATAATCTCCCGCTACATAAAAGTCTGTCCGACCCATCAGACGCCACCAACAGGGGGGAAAAGACCCCAAAATAAGCCCCAATCAATAACTGAAGCCCAAAAAGAGGAGATACGAGCTGTAGTCATGGGAGCTGGATTATGGAAGAACGGTGCGTTGTTTTGATCTGAAGACCCATTCGGCAGTATTAATTCAAATAATCTCCATGCCATTCCACGCAAATTAGCTTTTCAAATCACATGAATGACAGCGATTTCAACAACTTTATATTTTTAAAAAGAATCAATTATAATACTACCATTAAAAATGACCAGGCTTCTTACACTGCCAGTGAAACAAAAAACTCAAACAAACAAAGAACAAAGATTAGAAACAAGATTGTGCTGTTAATGTATATTTACTTAAGCAGACAACACTCAAGGACTGAACTGACTGGATGGATTTGTGCAGGTAGCTGATACACCTGACAAGGAGAACAAGTCAATGCAATAGGACGAGTGGGAAGGGGGCTCGACAAGCCCATGATTGATGATCCACAGCAGACCCCCCCATCCCAGATTACAGCATTTGATTTACCCGGGTAGAAAAATCTTATCATCATTAAAATGAGCTGGACGGACTCTCTCCAGAACCAGGAATGGTATCTTTTTCCAGAAGTACATGGTAAGTCACCTATATAAACTGCTATTTATCTATATACCTTGCCGTCTCATTCTGTCCCCTTTATTCCAGTTGTCTCTGCTTAGTCATGCACACATATCCAAAGCGCATACATTCAGTACGCCACACAATTCTGCTACGACCACGTCCATTAACAAGGAGCGAATGTACTATATACATGAATGAAACTAATTTGGCCATCGTGTTTCAAACAGTGGGACACTGGGACAGAACACGAGGCAAGAGAGCACTCTGGGGTGCGACCTGTCTGCACATACTGGGGACAGCGCACAGGAAATAGGTTTCCTCCTTCCCAGCATTCTTTAGTGGCAGCCCCGCCTAGACTAGCGTCCCACCTGTTCAAGGAAGGAGATGAACTCACAGCCGGACCCTCTGCAAACGCGTCCCAGAACCACAAACATTTTCACCAGTAACAGCTGGATTAATTCTCAACCTTAATTGCCAGTAAGTCACATTTTATGAACGATGAAATATTTTCTCAGAGTGTAAGTGCAGCAACCTAAGCGATCAATACAAATAGCCATCTGGAGGTACTTTAAAACATAATCACAGTGCATTATGGGATAGAACATACCCACAGCCTGAAGAGAACCAGCCGTGCAGATGTGGTGTTGACAGAGCCAGCTTGTGCAATTGCAGGCATGCAGGAAAACTATGCAAGAGCTACGCAAGTATATTGGACTGGGTTATAATTCTTTCAAATGCCACCACACTTGGGATCTCGGGACTTCGTTAATTCCAGTGTCCATGATATTAAATTTTTTAGGATTTCCTCATACAGGAAGACTTCTGTATCTCTGCAGACTGATCAACAGGTCAACCATAGTTCTTAGTAAAGGGGTAAATGGAAAAGCCCTCTTGGGATTTGATCATAAAACCTACTGGGCACAGCCTTGAAAGTGAAGTGACTCTAGTTCTTCATGAGTAATGCTGCTTGGGACACTGTCAGAGTCCAAACTGCTCTGAGTCACATCCTGCCTCACAGCTGAAATGCAGCTTGAAAATTCGCACGTCACTTCTGAGTTTGTATTCCTTTACAAAGTTCAAAGAACATATTAGCAGTCATTTGCTGTTTGTACTTGCGTAATAAAACCAGGAAGACCTAAAATAAGCACACTTTCCATCATTTTCTCTCTGTATTCCAGTGAGCTTTGATTACAGATTTCTCCCTGGTGAAATAATTTTTATTACGTGATGCAATTTTCAACAACACGTGGCATGACTGAACGAAGAATCAAACTGGACAGCAGATGACCTCAGACTGCAGCGATGTTTCCTGCCATTCAAATCATGCATTTATGTGAGGACCTCAAGGTTTGGGGGGGCCCCTGTTGGCCACAAATGGTCAGTACACTGCGGGGGGGGGGGACAAAATAAAAGCTTTTTAAGGCAGTGCAATCCTTGTGCGGTCCCTGACCAGGTTTCATGTACAATATCCTGTACAAAACGGGACACTGACACTTATTCAAGAGGCGCTTCCCTCTGCCCAAGGAGGGGCTTGATCTTTTACCTCTAGTAGATCCTGAGGACAGATCTTATAGTACATCGGCTAATTATTCCGTATGAGAAAAGTCCTTTATACTAGAAGTACGTCATTGAGAGTCGCAGACTGCAGAACCCGGCATGCGAGACGCCGCGCAGCGCAAACAGTAAGTCGGCAGTTTAAATGCAACATCTTAAG